ATGCATGTGAACAGTGCGCTAAACACATGCCTCTTGCCCACGCTTCTATATTCATTGTTGGTCGCAGCGAAATAGCCAAGTGATGTGCGGCCATGTTTGCCCTAAAAAGTTTGTGAGACACTTTGGATAATGTCGTAATATTCCGTTGTAAGTCACACAAAAGTTGCGACAATCTTGTTTTGTTAATAAGGATTTCTTCTCGGGTTTTGTCATATGCAAGTTTTTATCGTAAGTTTGCTTTTTGAATTCGGCCTCTGATGTCTCGATCCTCGCAATAATTCAAACTTAGTGTGGCGGATCCAGACCTCCGTTTTGGTGTGGGCGGAAAATTTTTAAGGATACTATTCTCCCATTCTTTCTTGTGCAAGGGGGGTCCACTCATATCAAATTGCCCTCCGAAAAGGGGGGAGCGAAAGGGGTCAACTTTGTATGGAGGGGGGGGGGGGGGGCCCTTTGGATCCGCCACTGTTGTGAAAGCTGCAGTTGACACTCACCCATTCGGAGCATGGCTTTATGATCCGCATAGAACCCTATTACCCTTTCCTTCGTGTCCGTTGTGATTAAAAATACTTCTTCAAGATAGTAAACAAACACAAAAAAGTAAATAAAAGTACACAGGGACAACAATTGTGGGCATAAAACACTGGCGCCAGTGTTTACCACCACTTATTGTCCATGTGTTTTTTGCGGCGCTTGTCTACGATCATGGATCAATTGGCTCGAATTGCCATATTAATTCTGCGAGATGCTTATAAGTCTTAGCTTCTCTATGTTCGAATTTGGTAAACTTCATAAGCGGCAACATCTGCTGGCTTATCTTTGGAAGACCTTTTCAAAAGCCGAAATAAAAAAGAGTGCAATGCGGCGGCAAAACAGTGAGCGATTGATTCTCGCAGACTCGGGGGCAAAATATACTTTTGCATTATGGTGCCCCTGACAGTGTTATTAGTGCCACTCATTAAACTATCAAGGTAGTGTGTAAATTAAGTGCCTGGGTGAGCAAAAATGTAGGAATTTTGAATGTGACTTTCTGCATTTAAGGCTGGTTCACACATACAGTGCAGCGCTAACTCAGTCCTGTTAAGGCAACGAGTCACTGCTACTTCCATGGCCTGTATCGTGTGTTCTGAGGGTCCTCCTTTTATAAAGGACTGGTGTCCCGGTTTGTAATACTGATTCAGCGCTGAGGTAGTGCTGCGCTGTGATCAGGATACCTTGCGCGGACATTGAAGTTTAGATAAGCAGATCAACGTGTAACTGTGCATCTTTTTTTCTTTATAGGTTACCAGTACAAGGTCTCCCATGGACATGAAGGCAGTACAAGGTCTCCCATGGACACGAAGGCAGTACAAGGTCTCCCATGGACACGAAGGCAGTACGAGGTCTCCCATGGACACGAAGGCAGTACAAGGTCCCCCATGAACACGAAAGCAGTGTACCGTATACTCGAATTTTGCATTTTTAATAAACCAGTTATTACTCCTTCCCACGGTTTTATGCACGAATTTTCCGAACCTTGCATGCGTATATTGGCGAACATATAAGTAAAACACTTGCACTCACTTTCCCCTTCCCTCAAAACAACGGTTAGATCCGGACCACATGTTATGCAACCTATTGCCGTCTTCCCCCTTAGAGCCGTCTATCTAGAAACCCATGCTAGGAGTATAATTTCTAATACATTTCATTTGAAAGTCTAGATACACTGCTTTGAGTCTCCGTTGAAAATCAAATGTTATTTTCTACAGCGTTGCAATTCAGGTTTTGGTGGGCCATCTCATTTGGTATATTCCGACTCGTCGGAATATACCTAATGAGATGGCACGTCAAAACCTCAAATACAACGTGGTAGAAAAAAACATTTGATTTTCAACAGAGACTCAAAGCAGTGTATCTAGACTTTCAAATGAGATCTATTAGAAATTCTTATGAGGTGGCACGGCAAAACCGTAATTGAAACGCGGTGGCCAATAGTTTTCGTAAACTCCTTAGGGACTCGTTACAAAAAATCAATTGTTTTTCAACACAGACTCGAAACGGTGTCAATAGACTTTCAAATTATATTCATATGAAATACAGTGGAAACTTTATGCGGTAGCTTTGTCGAAACATCAATTGGAACGCGGTGGCCAATAGTTTTCGTAAACTCCTTACGGACTCGTTACAAAACTCGTTTGCATTTCTATTGAGACTCGAAAAGATGTAATGAGTAGACTCCATAAACTGTCAAATGAAATTGATTAAACATTTTTGTAAGGGTAGAGAACACCAAAACCCTGGTCATAACTGTTTTTATGTTTTTTTTGTTTTGTTTTTTTTTTTAAGCGGGCGGATGAGTTGGAATTGCGCGACTCTTTGAGTTCACAGATTTATAATATCATGGACTATATATGGACACGTCTTCTTTATAGCAAATTCGGTTTCGGAGCAGTGGCCTGAATCCGTCAGAAAGAGGGTGCAGCGGCAAGGTAATCCGAACCGACAAGAAGACGACGAGAAGGTTCGCTAGGAAAACGACAGGAGCGAGGAACGAGCTCGAGGACAGAGAATGACTCCGGATCTTGACGGTGGCAGACACCCATCTATCTGTCACGCAATAAAGGATCCTACAAGGGCAATCCCAAGGCAGCCGCCACGTCTCAAATCCAGAAAGGAAAGATGATCAAGAGTAGTGTGCCTCAATGTCCTTCAGTTTAGGGTGATGCCATCGTTTGTAGTACCCGATGCCGACAGCACGCGCTCACAGGGAAAATATAAAGACATCGCAGTAAACAAAATGTCGCCGTAGCACAGTCTAGGCCACGAGCGCGTGCAAAGACACGCGCTTCAAAACAACAAATAAAAATAATCGTTCGAAACAAAATGGCCAGATGTCATCACCCGAAGCAAAGCGCACATGAAGGCACCCTAATCGAGAGCAGGCTCGGTGACCAAAGGTGCCGGATCTGCACAACGAGCTGCCATCCAACAGCAGGGGAAGACCCGTAGTCGCTCTGGGTGAAACAGAATGTCAGGTGTGCCGCACGGGCTTGCAATCCAGCTAAATCTGCCGATTTGGCTGCAGCTCGTCGACCGCGAAAATTTTGAACCAACGGCACACTCCAGGGTCTGTGAGGTAAGTTCCTTTCAAGCAGAACAGTAATGCAGTTTGAGTTGTCTTTCAGAGATTGTTTGCCGTTTCGAAAGATTCGACTCGTTCGTTTCAAGCGGCTGGCTAAGGTGCCGTTGAAAGCTGGCTCGTCCAGTCACTTTTACTGATAAAGTTTTTTTTTTTTTATTTTTTTATCACTGCTGCCGTGCTTCTTGTCTTTGGTAGGTATTTTTGTGATGGGGGGGGGGAGCATTTGTCAAACCGCAGTAAGTTTTTGTTAACAACCGGGGCTTCAAAGTGAGCAATCTTCATATGGAAGCGCTCTTGCACATTTCGTGCACGCGCCAGCTCGTAGTAGAAGTTCTCGAACCAGCAATTTCCAAAATTGGAGCAATATAATCAGTATTGTTTCACCACAACACTTTCGCGTGTTCGGCGATTTGTAGATAGTCTGGTGCACAATCCCGCCATAAGCTTGACACTACAATTCTTTAAGTTGCTAGCCATGCTTTTTTACCTGAAAGGGTGAGGGTTCGAAGTATTCAATTGTAGTGTGTATATCCCAGTAAATAATCCTGGGAAAGTTTTTGTTGTGTTTGGTAACCTTTTCCTTATCTGTTATTTTTCATAGGACCAGTTCGAACAGAGCCAATTTGAGGCAAGGAGGGCGGACGGTCGAAGACTGCTCAAGTCAAACGCTGTTCCTAGCATACCAGCAACGGGAAATGCACAGAAAGTGCCAAGGAGAAAAGTCCTGAAGAAGCGAAGCACTGGTCAGCTGCAAGGTACGTAGCTCACTTACTATGATGCTAAAGAATCCACTTTACGTTTCTTTTACGACGTATAATTTCTGCATTTCTAGCAACTTCAAGCACTGCAGGAACAGCTGAAGTGCAGAGGACAACTGCCCCTGTGGCCATGCCAATGCAGAGCAACGCAGAGAAACCGCTAACACTGAAACCCAAGCCCGAGCTGCACCCAATTAAGCTAGTAAGTACCGAATAGCGAAAAAAAGCCACCTATAATGCCACTTAAATGGAGGAAGTTCATGCTGATCTACAAATTAAAAATGAGGCTTCTAATCCCTGAAGGGCTTCTATAGAGTGCACACACCCGCAGCCTGTCAGCGATACATGCCGGACAAGTGCAATCGTTGGGTTTATCTTGGCAGACAGCCATGTCCGTACGGGCCGGCAGTTCCCTTCCTCAGAAGAGAGTCATGCGCTTGATTTCGTGACACAAGCTTAAACAACTCCAAGCTTTCCAGCTCTAGCATAGTGTTGTTGCTGATAGTCAGTTACCACACCAAAACGCAATCCAAAAGGAAAGAGAACAACGTTGGGGACGTTTGGTTTTTAAAATTACCCAGGGTATCAGCAGTTGAGGGCCGAGAAGATACGTACACTCTCTGCAAGATAAAGACTCTGATGATCAAGACGCATATATCGAGAAGTATGGAATAGGCTCACGGCACTTCGTCAACTGTCGCCACAGCTTGCTCTTGTCCGAGAGAAATTTTTTGTACATTAGTGTAATGACGAGCCAGCAGCCGACGGAATGCCAAACAGAACAGTCCGTTTATTCAGGACGCCATACTTTATATACACACACAAGGACACCATGTTGCCGACCGCACATCTGAAACCGAAACTGGACAGTGTTCAATAATTCACACAATACACAACATATTTCCTTCCTTGAAGTTGTTTGGGTGACAATTGGTTAGTACGTTAATTGGTTAGTGGATTGTTAGCAATGACTTGACTATCAGATATATACCCAAAATATGTACATATATACATCATACAATTCTGACAAACAACATTATACAATTTTTACAGAACTGCATGTGACTTACAGCTCACAATCACAACAGAAGACTTAGTAAAAAAAAAAACGGAAGGCAACATTAGGCATCATCCCGGAACCTAGCAGGTGGATGCCTGTCCCTGTAGGGTTGGACTCGACGCTCCGGCCCAGATTCTTCAGGCGGTGTAGTTTGCTGGCCCGGCACAGGCTCTTCCTGTGGCGTAGTTTGCTGATACGGCTCAGGCTCCTCGGGCGGCACAGGCTCCTCGGGCGGCACCGGTTCCTGGGACGGCACAGGCACCTCGGGCGGCACTGGTTCCTGGGACGGCACAGGCACCTCGGGCGGCATAGTTCGTACTTGCCCCTGAGATGCAGCACTGCGGGGCACCCAGGTGTCACTTGGCTGAATACAGTCATGGTCAGCCGGAACTGCAGGCACCTTGCACAACTTGGAGGCGTTCCAAGTACGTCCGTCGTCGAGAAGGAAGGACGACGGGCCACGCTGCTTGACCATCTTTTTCGGACGACTGAACACAGGATCACCCTTGAAGGAAACGGATGGCTTCTTAACCCTGACGTGATCTCCTACAGCAACTTTTTGTGTTCTTTGCTGCTCTCCTTCTGTCGGTGTACTGTTTGCTGTACAGCTGGTGACGCTTCACGCGCTTTCTCAAATTTGACAGCTCTTTCGCTGGTTCCTCCTCGAGCAACGGTGATGGAAAACCGACGACGTTCAGCCGTGTTCTTGGCGATCTCCCATGAAGAAGAACAGCAGGGGCAATCCCTGTAGTAGCATGCAGAGTGCACCTGTAGATTCCGAGGTACTCGGTAATAGCCAATCGCAGCGGTCGACGTTCCAAAACAGCCAGCTGAATGAATGCCTTAAAAGTGCGATTGAACCGTTCTATTTGGCCATTGGCCTGGGGATAGTACACTGATGAATGCGACAGCCGAATGGACCGTTCTTGCAGAAAGTGGACAAACTCCCTGGACGTGAATTGTGGACCATTATCACATACTACCTCATCAGGGTAGCCTTCCCTGGAAAATACGTTGAGCAAGAACTCCATTACAGTCCTTGATGTTACTTCCGAGCTGAAATGGACTTCCGGCCATTTGGAGTGGTAGTCGATCAGAGTAATCACGAACCGGCAGTTCTGAGGGGCTCTCTCCAGGGGACCAACTATGTCTATTGCAACCTTCTGCCATGGTCGTTCGGGGAACTCAACCGGTTGCATTGGAGCAGTTGATGTCTTGGCTGACTTGTCGGCTTCCTGGCAAGTACTGCAGCTCTTGATGGCCGTCTCAACTTGGTTGTCCATTCCCGGCCACCAGAATTGTTCGCGAAGCCTTGCCTTAGTGCGAACGATTCCTGGGTGGCTTTCATGCGCTGTAGCAATGAGCTGTGCCGACAGAGACGAGGGAACAACCAGACTTTCTGCTCTTAGTAGACTTCATCTACCACTGACAGTTCTTCCCGAATTCTGAAAAACGGCAACAGATTTTCAGGAAGGCTTCTGTGCGGAGGCCAAGAATCGGTGACGTAGGACTTCACTTGAGTCAGGACAGCGTCACTCAGAACTGCTTCTTGGAATTGTTCCATGGTGACACACGTAGGCTCAACAAGGCAGACAGCTTCTTCCTCAAAAACCAGCTCGGGGTCCCTGGTCGGGACGGGAAGACGAGACAGAGCGTCCGCTACACTGTTCTGCGCACCTTTCTGATACTCGACTGTAAAATTGTAGCAGAGCAGTCTTGCACACCAGCGTGCGACCCTAAGCGGACGTCGTCCCAAATCACGTGAAGACAGAAGCGAAACCAGGGCTTGGTGGTCTGTTCGCAGAGTAAATGGGCGTCCCCAGAGGAACACATGCCAGTGTTCACATGCCCAAATGCAGGCCAGTGCTCCTTTTTCGCCAACAGCATACCTCCTTTCAGCAGGTGAAAGGGTGCGCGAAGCAAAAGCGACGGTGCGAAGTGCCTGGCCCTGTCGCTTTTGGAGAACGGCTCCTAGTCCGCATTCAGATGCATCTGTCGAGACTACAATTGGAAGAGCAGGGTCAAACATACGAAGCACCAGGTCTGAAGAAAGCAGGAGCTTGACCTTGCAAAAGCTGGCATCAGTTTGTGAGGTCCACACAAACTGTTCGTCCTTGCGAAGAAGAGCTCTCATTGGCTCCACGACTTCAGCTAAGCGAGGAACGAACTTCGAATAATAGTCCACGAGACCTAGAAAGGAGCGGAGTTCTGCAGCCTTGGTTGGAACAGGCGTGTTCACGATTGAATCTACCTTTTTTTGGGAGGGGCGAAATGCCTTGGGCAGTCACCTTGTGACCTAGAAATGTCAACTCTGTGACATTGAAAACGCATTTGTGATTCAGTTTAAGGCCTGCATCCTTGATGCGTTGCAGGACTTTGGCCAGGTTCTGCAAATGTTCCTCCGACGACTTGCCGTAGATAATAACGTCGTCAATATAAAAGAGGACGCCAGGACAGCCGTGAAGAATCTGTGACATCAGGCGTTGGAACGCTGCTGGCGCTGAGGCCAACCCAAAACAAACTCTTTTGAAGCGGAACAAGCCGTCGTGGGTGATGAAGGCTGTTAAGTGTCTGCTGTCTTTGTGCAGGAGGACCTGGGCCCGTTTTCTCGAACGCGAACCGTGGCAAACAGTTGAGATCAGCAGGAATCGCAGAAACGTGCGTCGCAAGGATCAAAAACGAGACTACAGCACCGGCGTTGCCAGAATGGAAGGAACACGGGAAAGTTATGCGTTGTTTATGGCGAAACATATTGAAGGAAATATTTCTTACATTTTCGCATATTCGTCGACAAACTCTAGCATAGTAGCTAAAATTTCTTCGTACCATCGGAAGCAAATAAATTGGTCTTCAAGCACAACATTACTATATTTTGACCTAAAATACCGTACTAGATCGATGACCACCATCGGAAAAAGAGGACAAGCAAAATGACTGGCTTGTTTCACCGATAGATGGCGCATCTTATTGCCCAATCAAAAATAATTATTGTTGTTCTATATCCTGCCGTTTATTACAGTACCTAGGTACTTTTCCCTTCCTAGGCAGCGTGGTTTACCAAAATGGGTTTACCATCGCTTCGAGAAAACCGGCCCAGGTGGTAGGCTGAGGCTAGGTCAAGTTTTGAAAAGTGGGTGGCTCCCACCAGTGCATGAAGCAGCTCTTCCTTGTGTGGCAGGGGGAACATTTCGGGAACGATGGCCTTGTTGGGTTCGTGAAGGTCCACACAAAGTCTAATACTCCCATCTTTCTTCTGAATGACAACAATGGGAGAAACCCACTCCGACGCTTCGATGCGTTCGATGATGTCAAGGCTTTCCAAGCGCTGAAGCTCAGCTGACACCCGAGGTCGCAAAAATAAAGGCAGGCGACGAAGTTTTGATGCTACGGGATGGACCGAAGAGCGCGTCTTGACTTTGTGAACAAAGCCTTTGGCGAGGCCTAAGTCTGGAGTGAAAAGAGGAGTGAAGTGAGCAAGGGCCGAAGGCAGTGGCGGAAGGCCGACAGCAATGGAGGTATGTTCCTCAGGGACGGAGGAGGCTTGAAGGCACGGCATAGTGGACCCTTCAATGCGCAAGTTCAGAGCCTTGATACCATCAATACCAATGAGCGAAGTTCCATGCTCTACAACGTAGAAGAGAAGTTGCGCCTGACGTCCTTGAAAGGAGACTTCGGAGAAGAAGCAACCTCGAACTGAAATGGGCCTTTTCGAGAAGTCTAGCAGGGTGACACGCGGAACAGGCAGGAGAACTAGACCCGGAAAGTGTTCGTCGAATACTCGTTTCGACAGAATGGACACAGATGACCCAGAGTCAACTAGAAGTTGCAAGTTAACCTGCCCGACTTGAACATCGATATGAATTGCGGAGGCTGTAAGACGCTGAAGCACAAGGACCTGAGCGGCATCATCCTCCGACGAATTGTCGACCACTACCTCGCGAACGGTCGACTGCGGGCGTTTCTGGTTGCATACTTTTTTGAAATGTCCAATGCGACCACAAAATAAACAGCGTTGTCCCTGTGCCGAACAACGAGTCCATGACGCGCGGTGCTGACGAGAGCCGCAACGGAAAGAGTGCGGCGACAGTGCGCGTGGTGCTGAAGGCGAGCGACGGCGGTTGCGGCGGTCACGAGATGAGGGGCGGTTCCCTTGAGCAGCGCGTGATGTGGTAGCGCTTTGGGGAATATGCTGCTGGTGACTTCGCGTAACGTGCTGTGAGCGTGAAGACTGTAAAGGGGGATCGGAATACTTGCTAGTACGCGCTGACACTGGTTGTACAGACGCAGAAAATTCTTTCATTTGTTCGGCCGCTTGTTCTTGTTGAAGGGCTATCTGGACTGCGGTGGAAAACGGCAGCGACGAACCTTCCAGCAACAGGCGTTCACGAACGCGGTTAGAAGACACGCTGGTCACGAATTGGTCTCGTAGTACCTCTTCTTGTGACGCGAAGCAACACGGCGTTGCGAGCTCACGTAGCGCGGCAACAAAGTCATGAACAGACTCGCCTGGAGATTGGAAACGCCGGTGGAAGCGGTGTCGCTCGATGACCAGGTTGCTGGTTGTAGCGAAGTGTTGGGCCAAGGAAGCGACGGCGATGGCGTAGACGTCCGGCTTGCTCGTTGCGTCTTTGCCGGTGTCCTGGGCGGTGCTTGGAGGATTCGTGTCAGGCAGTGTGTTAAAATTTCGTTGGCCTTCGGCTCCCAGACAGTGCAGCAGAAGGGCCTTGCGTCGCTCCGGGGGAAATTCGGCAGCACCAGACGTAAGCAGGTAGACGTTGAACATGCCATGCCACTGCGCCCAGGGTACGGACGGGCGTCCCGGTGTCGGCAGGAACGATTCCGGAGGGGCGAGACCAGCGAAGGCCATGGCGAGGCTCGTTAGGGAAGGCGCCGTTTACGCGCTACGTATCGAAGGGGAGGACATCCTCGTCGCCATGTAATGACGAGCCAGCAGCCGACGGAATGCCAAGCAGAACAGTCCGTTTATTCAGGGCGCCATACTTTATATACACACACAAGGACACCATGTTGCCAACCGAGCATCTGAAACCGAAACTGGACAGTGTTCAATAATTCACACAATACACAACAATTAGAGGGATCACAAAAACTAGCCCTAGAAGCTCCATAAATTTCCGTGTGCGTGGTTGAGTGGCAACGCACCTGACTCACATGCAGAGGCCCCAGGTTCGATTCCTTAGAGTCGCGCAACTTTTATTATAGTTTTGTAATAACAGTTTCTACAGTGTTCGAGATCGAGAAGCGTTTTGTTTAGAAGGTTCAAAGGCCTAACATTCTAGTTCGAATGTTCGCGAAGCCCGTGCGTCTACGAAAGGCCCAACGCGTGGCCCTATGCGGTCAGCTCTTTGTCAGCGCTCGACTCTGCTCTCACGCCGAAAGCGACGCCTGCCACCCTGTTATCTCCTTTCTGTCCCTTCTTCTTGGCACAATTTAGCCCCCTTAAACGTTTAATTCCTCGTGTTTATATATTTTTTTTTTCTAACTACCCGTGACCTGCTCTAACTACTCTAACTCAGATATGTCTTTTGAAGTTTCACATATGAATTAGACTAGTGCAAAGGTACAGCACCTTGCATCACTGAGACACGATTTCTGCACTGCAGCATTCACAGCCAGGCAGAAGGAAACCTCCCGGAGGTCATGTCAGAGGAATACATAACCGTGGAGCTACTCACCGTGGAAGTCGAAATGCCAGCTTCGCTCCATCCCACCAGTGAGTACCAGTTGGAGAATGTGGATAAAGTGAAAACCCTACTGTTTTTTCACATTATTACGAATGAAGCTAACATGAGAACTTTTCAATAGGTGCCTATATTGTGGAGCTTGAAGACATTGTAGACACCTGGAACACCACCATGCAGCACACTTGCTTGGGCAAGCTGGGGCCAGGATTGGGCCTTGGTCGTAATAGACGGGACCGAGGCCTCCCGGTGAATTCGGTCAACTGCCTGCCTGGCACTTCACTGCATTTTCTGGGCCCGTGAATTCCAAGAGCTGCCAGGGAGTGGCTCTCCTTTGCGTTCCTTGTTTTCCAATGTCCGAGCAGACCAATGTTGCCAGGTGGTCGCAAGTGTTAAAGGTTCAGTGACGTTTCTCTGTATTCCACGGCCCTAAAATTCCAAGGAACTGCCAGGGAAGGGCTTACCTTGGCGTTCCTTGTTTTTCCATGGTCCGAGCAGACCAATGTAGCCAGGCGGCCGCCACCGCTGAAGGTTCAGTGGCGCTTCATTGCATTGCCTGGCCCTAAAATTCCGCGGACCTCCAAGGGAATGGATTTCCTTGGCGTTCCCTGTTTTCTTTTGGTCCGAGTCGACCAGGGAAGACAAGCGGCCGCCAATATTCAAGGCTTAGGTTCAAGGCAAAACCTCCTTTTGTGTCCCTTGTTTCTACTTGGTCCGAGACGACCAGTGTAGATAGCTATTGATTGAGTACTTTACCAAGCAAGAGCGCGAACGAGCAACGGAGACTTTTCACTGTCACTCGTGGCGTCGGTCGGTTCTGGATTTTCAGAAAACTTCGTTCACAGCCGTGGTGGTCGCTTCCCTATTGAAAATAATTCTAAAGGGCCCATCAGCCTTGAAGGATTATGGGACCTCACAGGCCTTCAAAACCCTTCAAAAAATACCCTTCAGGTATACCATTCAGAAAAAACCCTCCAGCCCCACAGCCCTTCAACCCAAACCCCTTAGCCCATCAACCCTTTAGACGCCAAAATGACTGAACGTTAGACAAAAATTCAGTTCAAAACGTTATTGAAATCTTATTGCGGACATTGAGTTTTACATGCGTATTAAAACTCAAAAAGATGATAAAAACCAACGCTTGTTCAAACCCGGGCGCAAGCAGCTGTTGACAAAAGACAGCATATCACATAGGAACACTGACTTCTTTATCACAACGAAAAATATCTTTCAAAGTACTCACAATGCCGTTGGGTAAATTCCTGATGTACGGTAGTTCAGCTAATAAAACGGAGCAGGTGCACCTCACGGACACATACACAGTCTCAGTAAGCACTTTAGCGAAAACCACGAACTCGCAAGCAGATCCCGTCACCGTTGAGAAATCCCGAGCAGAGTCACGGTTTCGGCCATGATGTCGTCGGGACGGCGTCTTCGGCGTATTTTTCGCTCGCTGGATGCTTCTGAAGCCAGTCGGACGAAGAGGCCAAGAAACAAGGCGGGACAGCGGCCGTCAGCCACCGTCTCAGGACCCACAGTGCCATGATTGCGGTGCGCAGGCACTACATGCGGTGGGACGCTGATCCCGACTGCCAGGCTTGCTGCGAGTAAGCCGACACCGGCCACCATCTCCTTGAAAGCGCTGAACACGATGGCGCTGGAGCGGTGCTGAAGGCGGCCAACGCCGAACTGGGGTTCACCTGCGGAACCAAGGAAGAAACGGCACGGATTAAAACAGACCAAGGGGCGAGCCCTCAAAGCAGTGCTTACCTTTCTGGAAGGAGGAAACCGGTCCGTTCCAGACCTCCACGGCGGTGAGAAACAAACCGCACACGAGTGGAAAGAAAATGGCTATAGCGGCCTCCTGACCTCCTCGGCTTCCTCACACTACACTCTCCCGCCTACTATTGGAGAAGCGTGCTGTCCGGCCCTGGCGGTTCTGCACCCTCTCCCCATTGCCGGGCGGAGAGAAGCGCAGTGTGTGTTTGTAGGCGTTGTAAAAGAGGGGGGGTGGGGATTTGAGTTGTCTGGTCGTGTTTTTGACGACGACGAAAAAGAGAGGACTTCCGACTCTGGTGAAACGCTAAATGGTTTTCAACATTGTAAAACCCGAGACGTAGGACGACAGGAGAAGGAAAGAAGGGACAACATTTTTTGGCCTTTTTGGGGACCGTTGCCCGCGGGAAAACCGGTTCCCGGGACGAGTCGCTGCCGCTTCGCCCTTACAACCTCCCCAGCGTCCCTGTTTTTGGGCAACGCGCTCCTCTCGGCTTGCCTTTTTTATTATTACTAGTGCAACAAGTAAAGCTTTTTCGCCTCAAAACGCCGCTCGGCCAACAACACTCGGCCGCGCCTTGTCAATTCTCCACATGGGGCGATCGAACCCGTAGCCGCCTTAGCGATCGAACAACCGGCCAGTGACAGACAGGTCGAGGAGCCCAGTCGTGTTTAATAGAAGAGCAGTAATAAAAAACTGGCCGTACGCACATACGATCGACAATCTCCAAATACTAATTTTTTCCCCCTTTGCGAACAATACGTAGTTATGTTCTAATTCTGCGAAATGTGTTTTTTCCACCTAGGCCGTGGGCCCACAGACATCTCAAGAAGCCTGAAGGTTTTCCCGGCCCCATTAGAAAAGTTCTTGACAGGCTTTCAGACATTTTAAGGCATTGTAAAGGGCACTTTAGGCATTTCAAGAGAGCCTCTGACGGGGCCAGCGAACCCACCAGGAAATATGGGTGCCCCCTTCAAACATCACAAGAATTTCTGAAGTCCCCTTCACACCCTTTAACGAATTCCTGAAGTCCCCTCAGAGCGATTTTCAATAGGGTTGCTCTCTTCACATGCGGTTCGATGAGCGATATTTTCCAGGCAGCCAAAATCAAACCATCCAGCGACGCCACGAGCGACAGAAACCCCGATTTGGCGAGTAACGAGGCAAGGGAGGGCGACGAGGACCCGCTGTCGGTCGATAAGTCGCTCGACGAGGGAAACGGCATAAAAGCGACGGGAGCAAGCGACCACCAAAACGATAAGCGTTTTCCAGAAATCCAGAACCGAGAGACGCGACGAGCATCCGTGGGAAATCTCCGTCGCTCACTGAATCGCTTACAAGCGGTTCAGCCTTGACGCGTACTACAAAGAGCCCATGGTCTCACCGCCGTGACCGGCGCCAGTGGCCACCGGCACATGAGCCGAACTTCCCGTCCACTGCGCACGGCGACCGCCGTCAGACACCCGGCAGAGTGAACTCGAAGTTACCCGGGCCTGCGCACGGGCGAGGCTCGCGTCCTGACGCACGTAAGCGATTTCACAAGCGACGAGAGAATAGACGATTTGCAATTTTCCCAAGCGCCCCGGCTCGCGCCCGAGGAATTGTGGGAAAGACTGTCCCTCGCCTGGCCGCTCTGCCTTGAGATCGCATCGCCTTTTCGCTTGCCTCCTCTTAATCCAATGTTTTTCGATTCCATTACCTATTTATATCTATTCCAGTGTATTTTTATTGCTTCTAAGTGTTTCTATTCTCTTCTGCGCGCGATATTTCTTGTATATATAGTATTTGTGTCTTTATTTTGCCTTTTTCGACGGGAGTGCCGAGAGAACACGCCGCTTCGCGCGTCGTTCCCCGGGTGAGTGCTACCATTGGTACCGATTCCTATCGCGCTGTTTGTTCATTTTGGTTTATTTAACCCGCGTGTAGTCGAGAGGAGCCGTTTGTGAACACCCGCGCACATGTCGGTTAGGCAGAGTTCTGGATCAACAATCGCGACGCAAGAGCCGAGTGCGCTGTGATTTGACCGCCCGCGCTCGCACCATTGACTCGCACTGTAGCGTATGCCTTCGAGTGCCGCTTACTTGACCAAGATACAGCACGCCGCTTTGCCGTCGCGAATCATTTTTCCGAATGCCTGCAGAACCGAAACACCGATCGGCATATCCAGCGCTGCGGCGCCTGACAACTGCACGCAGCGGCGCGAGCCCTTAGCAAGCGCCGCCGGTTCAACGTCGCGGCTTGTGTGCACCTTTGACATGCATTCATGATCAGTCTGCTCGGCGGTTGTCAGTTGCTGACGTCTTGACTCGGGCATCAGCTCACATCTTGACTCGAGAAATAAAATTATCGAAGGAACTACGAGTTTCAAGATGACTGCCTGGATGACAG